GCTGCCCGCGGGAGGGGCACGGCTGTGTCCGCGTGGCAGAAACACGTGCGTTGCTCACGCCCTTGGCACTTTTCATCAGAGTCTCCCGTGCGCTGACCATGAGGACACCTGAAGCTGATTGTGTGAAACTGAGGCTTGCGGCGACAGCCCCGGCTGGGCCCGGCCCCTCCCCAGCCAGCCCCACCCCTGGGGCCAGGTGCACAGCCCAGCCCTGCAGGACGGGGCTCAGGCGAGTGTGCCCGGGGCTGGCCAGACCCCAGTCCCCAGGGGGCCTTGCCATGCCAGGAAGGGCACGCGCCAGTCCCACCTGCCAGTGCAGGTGAGTTCATGTCTGGGAACAAACCCAGAACATGAAACTCTGCTGCGTTCTAAGAGACACGGGAGGAGTGTGGGCACAAGGACTCCTTTAAATCTGAAGATTTGGAAGAGCGTTAGAATAGATTGCGGCAGCTCGGCTTCACCCGGTAGCCAGCCCCGGCGGCTGCAGGCCCAGCGCGTGCGTGTGAGGTCAGTCAGAGGAGACGTGTCCTGCAGGCGACCGTGTGGGGGTCAGGGAGTGTGGGGGTGTCGTTGCTCATCTTTGAGGTTCCTAATGAGGACGACCAGACTCTCCCATGGAATGTCCCTTGCTCCCTCTGCCAATAAATCTTTATTTGGCGCCTTCTGTAGACGCGGGTCCGGGCTGCGACCAGGCCCTCCTGGCCGGCTGGCCCTGGGAGGGTCAGAGGGGGCATCTGGTGACGGTGCCCCTCCTGGAGAAAGGGCAGCCTGGGTTTGCCTGCGGTTCCCCCCTTCATACCCACCCCTGGCCCTTGACGCCAGCCTGGCGAGCAAACCAGCGAAGGAAGCAGCCCGGGTGTGTGGCCGTGTGGCCCATCACGCATCCTGACTGGCACTTGCCAGGACACCTGGCCGCTCGGCGTCCGGCCACTGGCCCAGGGTGCAGGACGAGATGTGGACTCAGGGTCCTGTCTCAGGGGCAGCAAATCCACATCCTGGCATTTTTAGTAGCACGACAGCCGGACAACCAGCCCGAGCCTGAGCAGCCCCCAGCCTGGACCGCCCCCAGGACACCTCACACCCCGGCTCGGGAGGCCCCGCTGGACACATGAGCAAACCCAAACCTCGTCGGAGTGTCTGTCGGGCTCGCTCTTCTGCGAAGCAGAGGCAGAGCCAGGCCAGAGGAGCGGGTCCCCAGGGGGAGGCCGGAGGAGGGAGGAGGAAGCAGAAGGGTGGGCGGTTCGGGGAGGCTGGGCTGGGGGGGCGCCGCGGGGGGACTTGGCGAGGCTCGAGCACGTGCTGGGACTTGGCAGGAGAGGGAGGACGCGTCTGAGAAGGGAAACCCGTGAGAAAGTCATTTGACCAGTGATTCTTAAACTTCAGCGAGCCCCGAAATCACCTCGAGGCTTGCGAGAGCATGGCTTCCTGCCCCCGCCCCCCGTTTCTGACTCAGCAGGTCGGGGTGCACTTGTCTGAGGTGTCCCAGCCCATGCAGACGCTGCCCGTGGGGCCTCTTAGCACGTGGGTCGCGGGAGTCAGGCAGGTGGGGGTGAACCCCAGCCCCACTTGCTAGTTGAGACCCTGATCACGTCCCTCTGCGCTAGCGTCTCCCCCTCGCCACGCAGGAGTGGTGAGGCTGGACCGTGCAGCGCGCCCCAGCGCTCCTGCCTCCAGAGTATTGTTCTGTCTGGGCTCCTGCCCCGGGCCGTTTTGGGGAAGGAAAGAAAGCGCCGTTCAGCTCCGGAGAAGGAAAGAATGGCTTCATTCAGCAGGCGCGGGGTTGAGTGCGAGGACGCCCGGGTGATGCCCGACAGCCCGGCCACGTCTCCCTGTCCCCGCCGGGGTCCACTCACCCCGGGATTCCTCACGGGACTCCTGCCAGGACAGCCCTGAGGCTGGTGCTTGCGCCCGCGGGAGCGACAGCCTGGCGAGGTGGGGCTTCGAGCACACAGCGGTGCGCACAGCCCGCCCCGCAGCGAGGTTGATGTTACGTGGATTTACCACGAAAACGTGTCCTCCTGGGGGGACATCGCTTTAGTGCGGGGTTAGCACCTTTGTTCAGATCATCTGCTTGGGCAAAAGGGTGACTGAGTCTGGAGCCTGCGTTGTCCACCCTCCGGGCGGGCCCTGGGCCTGCCGTGTCAGCGCCGTCTGCAGGACGAGTTTCAGTCGAGAATCGGGGAGCCCTGGAGACCCCCACGCTGCACTGCAGCCACGGCTCCTCTTCACAGCCCCCCTTCCTGGCCTCCCTGGGTGACAGACCTGGAATGTCCTGGAGGACGCTGCTGGCCCCAGCCTGTCCCTTGCTGCCAGCTTTCTCTGAGACGCCGGACGTGGTGGTGGACTCGGCGCTCACGGGCTGCGCTGTGGGTCTTCCCGGGGGCCTGCACCTGCACCTCAATCCGTGGCCACATCCTCGCTGCCCAGGAGGTGCCTGGTGCTTAAAAGCAAACCCTCCCTGCAGGGAAGACAGGGCTCCTGGCCAAGGCATACGAAGGGGCCAGGAGGAGTCACAGCAAGAGCAGATGCGGCCACTTCAGCTGCCCGGCGCGGAGTGGACGCCACGTCCAGGGGCAGCCTGGACGCGTGAGGACGCAGCCCCCTCAGCACGCGTGTTCCCGTAGCTCTGTTTCTGCAGCGTGACTGGGTGTTGAGCTTGGCGCGCTGAGCACTGCCTTTGCTAGGCTGGACGGAGAGCCTGGCGCGGTCCACCGTCTGCAGCGCGGACGGGCTGAAATGTCGCCAGAGGCGCAGCCACACCTCGGGGTCACTGACATCCGAGGTGCAGCAGCCGGGACGTCACGGTTGCACTTGATGTTTATCTCAGACGAGGCCTCTCGTGGCTTCTGGAAAAGCATTAGAGGCCACGAGGGTCCCTGGTGGCCGCTCCTGCGTCCTCCGGCCACGGGCTGGGAGCCAGGACCCCGAGTCCCTAATCCTCCGGGGGCCGGGACGCCTGAGGCACATCGTGAGGCAGGAGCCGCAGAGACCTCGACTGCCCGGGCCTGCCCCACCGCTGTGCTCCCCCAGCAGGCGCCCAGCCTCTCCCAGCCGCGGTGCCCACGTGGACAAAACGGAGGGCTCCCGAAGGCCGAGAGGCGAGGGGCCGGCATAGCCAGGCCCGTACCCCGTCCTTCTGCTGCTCCCGCTCTTTCCCGCTGCTTCTCCCGCAGGGGTCTCCCCCCACCCCCCAGCCCACGTCTGTAAACGATGCTGCAGAGCCGCGCGCCCAAGCGCTGCACGGCAGGTGGTGTTGCTGTATGGCGGCTTCTGTTTCACCCTCCCGCGACCGCGTGGCGTTGGGAGGGGCGCAGCTCCGGTCCTCACACGGGCGGCCCCGGGGGCGGGGGCGGGGGAAGCCGGGGTCTGGCAGAGCAGGACGCGCCGACTGGCCTCCACTGCGGACATGTCCTGGTCACTGCGCAGGCCGCCTTGGGCCGGAGAGGGCGCGCCTGTCACGCCTCCGTGGGGTGGGGTGGACCCCCGGCCAGGCCTCGCCGGCGGGCTGCGCTGCTTGTTTCTCTTCCACGAGTGGCCGAGCTGTGGCTCCAGCCATGGGGTCACCAGGGACCCCGGGCTCGGCCTCTGCAGTTCGGGGTGTGTTGGTGGGTGAGGCCTCAGATCTTGTCCCCCCGTGAGGCGTCGATGGGACACAGGAGCCCGTTGGCCCCGAAGCCTGGAGGGGCCTGGAGGGGGACCCCAGACACGCTGGTCCCGGGTTAGCTCAGAGCAACGTGCCGGGGCGCAGTGGGGCCGGGTCTGGGCCTCCTCGAGGGGCTCCCCCAGAGCCGAGCCAGCGTCCTCCTCGGCACCCTCCCGGGCGCGGGCGCCACGGGTCCTGAAAATCACCCATCTGGGAGGGGGAGCATCTCAGAGTCGTGGCCCTGGGCCCTGGAACCCAAGCTGCGCCGCTTATTAACTGAGCAAATTGGGGGAAATTATCATCCTAAGACCTTAATGCCTCCCTCCCCCGTGGCTGGCGGGAGGATTACGTGGAGGCTTGGGTTACGTGGAGGCTTGGGTTACAGCTCCCAGGGCCCAGCAGCCTCCGCCCCTCCTGCCCTCCCGCCTCCCGCTCCCGGCCTCCCCTCCTGCCCCTCCTCCCCCCACCCCTGCCCAAACCCGCCCTTTAGTCTTTTTTTTTTTTAAAGATTTATTTATTTATGCACACAAGAGCTGGGGCACAGGCCAGAGGTGTGGGGGTGAGAGGACTCCCCAGAGACAGAGTGGGGAGCAGAACAGGCGGATGGACTGAAATCCACTGCTGAGGGGAGCAGCAGGGAGACAGGAGAGTCTGCTGCGCCCTGTGGGTAGCTCCCTGGCCGGGGATGGAACTCGTGCTGCAGAGGCTCCGGGCAGCTTCATAGGTTGCGTCTCAACCCCTGCACCACCAGGGAGGCCCCTCCTCCCTTTAGTCTTAACACCGAGCCGGCCGCAGCTCTCTGGACAGACCCCGCCGCGTGCGTGAGTGAGTCACAGGGAATTGTCGCGGAATAACGTGCGCTACAGCAGAGCTCTCCCAGCTCGCGGCTCAGGGTCACGCTGAAGACGGCTTTGAAACTTGGGCTCTGAGAGTGAAGGTCCCGGGCCCTCCCGGGAAGGGCGGAGGCTCTCCAGGCCCGCCGTGATGTCAGGCCGCGTCACTCACCGCGGCGGGAGGGAGCTCCTGCCTCCAAAACCAGAAACATTCGCCGGAAACCTCACGACACACTCGCCGGAGCCATGGCCCGCGGTGGCGTGACTCTCTCGGCTCCGTCTGGCTGCCCTTAGCCAGTTATTTTTGTGCCGTTTTCTTTCTTCATGTTGCCGCATTTTCTGCGCCTGGCCGGGCGTGTGCCGAGCAGAAGGCCCGGGGCTCCTGGGCTCACTGTGTGTGGACGCGGGACCCGTTCACCCCGCAGGCATTTGCTCAGTCCCCGTGTGTCCACCCCCAGGGTGGGGCGTCTGACCCCCAACTGCAGAGGCATTAGCTGCTAACAGGATGGACCAAACCTGCAAACATGTCGGGAAACACCGTCTGCACGTGCTGGCGGCCCCGGCTGCCCGAGGTGGGGGCGCTTGCTCTCACCCCTCGACTCCAGCGCGCCGGTGGTGTTTGCAGGACTAAGAAGCAAGTGTTTCCCGATCTGCCCTGCCTATACATTTATGTGAAACAGAACGGAGTCTGGACCCGGCGTGGAAATGATTTCGGCGTGTGCGCGGGGCCCGGGGCTGCGGGGCCTCCCTCCGTCCGCGGGGAGCCGGTGCTGTCCGCCCGGGCCGGCGTCGCGGGGGAGATGACAGCGTCATGGGACGGGGCGCGGCGGGAGTGCTTGGATGACAGAGAACAAAACAGAATCCAGTGTGCAGTCAGCGCAAAGCTGGTGCCAGAGCTCAGAGTAATACCGTCGTTATTTCAGTTGCCCCTCGATCTGGGGGGCGGTGGCTGAACACACGGACAGCCGTGACTGACACGGGATGGCCCGCGGGGGCGCTGCCAAAGCCCCGGTGACTTGTCAGAGTTCTGCTGTTGAGCAAATGGCTGGATGTCGCCCCTCCTGGTTTAGGGTCTCCCTGAACTATCTGGGCGTAATTGCTTCCACACTTCCTCATTAGTGTTTTATGGTCTTACTACGTTGACTAAGCCCTCGGCTCGTCGCCGTGTTGAAATGAAACTTCCTCTCTCTGCAGTTTTGATTCTAGTGCTGAGGTGGGGCCCCCCGAGCGTCACCCAAGCCTCGTGTAAGGCTGGAAGCTGGCGTCATGGAACCTTCCAGGGCACGGGCAGAGGTTGCCCGAAGTTCCAGCGAGCCCAGCGGGAGCTGCCCTTCGAACCCACGTCTGCCCCCGGGAGTCAGCCTGGGTGGGGGGTGAACAGGGGTGTAGGTGTCTCTCGGGCTGGTCTGGGGGCTGAAGCCACAGCAGTACAGGAGGGGAGATTACTGGGGGGCTGGTGTGGCTCCCACACTTGTGACTAGAGGGGCGTCGTCGGCTCTGAGAAGAGGCTTCATAAAGGATGAGGCTCCTTTAATCTGCTGGGTGGGGGGAGCGCCACCCCGCCCTCCTGCCCCTCCTGCCCCCCGCTGGCCCCCCAGGAGCGCAGAGACCCGCCAGGCCCAGCAGACGCTGTGGTCCCACAGCAGCCGCAGCCGGGACAGCCTGGCCAAGCTCGCGGGAAGGCTGGAGCTGCGGCCCTAAGATGGCCCCCTGGACGCCGCCCAGCGCCTGGGAGCCTGAATGGGGGTTTTGTGCGGCAGCGCGAGCCGGAGTCTGGGTGATGGGGCAGGAGGCGGCTAATCCGGGGGCGGTGCTTTCCCTGCCGCTGCTGTTCTTCTGAAATGAAAGTGTAAGCAAAGCTTCCCTGCGCGGCTTTGATCTCTCACTCAGGCTGGAGGCAACTTGATCCGGGGCTCTCGCCCCAGGCTTGGGCTCTCTGGCCTGCACCCCCTCCCTGGCACTCCGGGGGGCCCGGGGGTGGGCCACGGCCGCTTATTTGCGGATGCTGCCTGGGGAAGACGGGGCGTCTTGCCGGGCGAGGTGCCCAGCGGTTGTGACTGCTCCAGGGTGTGAGTGACCAGGCCCCAGGCCAGAGCTGCGCCGTGACCCCACGGGCAGTGGCCTCCGAGCACGGAGAGCGGGGCGCTGGGCTCCACGTTCCGCCCCCTCCCAGCGTGGAGATGACAGACAGACTCTGGGTTCGGCCATTTAACTTGGGAGGAAAGCAAGTCCGTGTCTTCCACGCCCCCGGCTGAAAGGCCAGCGAAACGGCCTCTGCTGTCCACGAGAGCCGCCTCGTGAGGGACTCCGGTGACCGCTGCCCGCTCGCGCAGTCCGTCTCCACTCAGCCTCAGAGCGGCCAGGCCAAGTGGGCTCGGGGCAGGGGAAAGTGGACAGTGAGCTGTGGCTTCTGAATGCAGGATCCAGAGGCCCCTTCTCTGGGGGACGGGCCCTGTGCTCCCCAGCCCCCCCAGCCCCGGGCGGCCGGGGGCCCTGGCTGTGCAGCTGTACTGAAGGCAGGGGGCTTCCGCGGGGCTGCTGCGGGCAGTGAGCACACAGTTCCACGCAAGGGAACGTTCTGGAACCCTGTGGACACGAGGGTGCTGCCCTGTTTCCTGTAGTGACCCCCAGAGATCCTGTCTAAGGAGGTGCCAAGTCCCCGGGTTGCTCTGGCTGTGTCGACAGGGCCCGGAATCCCCTCGGTGCCGAGTCTTTTGAAGCCTTTTGCTCCAGTCCAGGGAACTCTTCAAGAGGAGAGCAGAACGTCACAATTTCCGTTTTTAGCCCCAAACAGATGCCGGCACGTTCGCTCTTCCCCATTCCAGGGTGTGCCCGGGCTTGCGCCGGGACGCAGGTGGCCACGGCGCGTCCTCCCGGAGCACAGGCCGCCGCCCGCTCGGGGGAACCCGCCTGGCGCGGGGCTGGGGCGGCCGGGCCTGCCCCGGGTTTTCTTCTTATTTTAAAACACCGGAGTAAACGTTTCCCGGGGCACATTTCTCTGGTCTTCAGGTTTGAAAGGCCTGCTGGGGAGACACAGACAAGCTCTGGTTTCCAGCAGCAGGAGATCTCGCTGCTCACGGCTTGGTTTTTTTTTTTTAATCCGCGGAGAGGCTTTCGCTTGATCTTTTGGAAACACTTTTCAGAGTGTGGATCCTTGTTTGCTGCTTTGTAGTTTGATTTAGTCGCCAGGTTAACCAGTTGTTTTCGCCCAGTGGGACCTCAGAGGAAGATATCTTGCAGGGAGGCAGATGTTTTCATCTGCTTAATTTTCGGTTACTTTATTTTCAAGTTCTGGAAACACTCAGAATAGTTCATCATGCAAGTTGTGGAAACTTGTTCTAATTTAGAAACAAATTCCCTTTGTGCACTGCGCGGCTTGGATAGGAACCTACAGCTCCCGGGCCCTGGGGCGGTGGGGATGGCTGAGATTTTATTTCCCAAAGGTTTTCCCTATAGTGCAGTTTCACGTTATTTTAATCCAGGATACATCCTGTCTCCTCATCGTCATTATCTCCATCATCTTTTAACTAGACTATTTTTTGCAGCAGCCTTAGGGGCGCAGCAAGGCTGAGAGGAAGGTATGGCGGGTTCCCACACTCCCTGACCCCCGTGCTCGGCCCCCCTCGGTCTGCCCCGCCGGCCCCGGCGCCTTCCCCAGTGACGAGCTCCTGGACGTGGCCGTGGCCCAGGCCCGTCGCTGGCCTCAGGCTCGCTCTCTGGGCAACGAGGCGGCCCCGCCATCACAGAATCCCCCCCAGGACGTCCCTGCCCTGCAAGTCCTCCCCGCTGCGCCGCCCTCCCTCCGCTCTCCAGCCTGGCAGCCACTGTTTTCTTTACCTCGCTGTGGCCTCGCCCTCTGTTGTTATTCCGACACGTGCTGGCTTTCACTTTAAAAGATTCATGAAAATTTGAAAGTTACTTAAAAGTGGATTGCAACGCTTTGTGGAGGAAGAGCTCGGCGCTCTGTCTGTGCACCAAGGGGTTGTCGCTCATGGAGTGACCGATTCCCCCGCTGGGGTGAGAGTCCCGGGCCTGGGGTGACGTGTCGGGCGCGGCTCTCAGCAGGGCCAGCGCCGCCTCCGGAGCCCCGGAATCCTCAGCGCGGCGGCTCCGCACCTCCTGGATGGCGGCGTGAGCAGCGGCACCCGTGGGTCCCCTCTTTCCCCCGAGAGACCCCTCCCCCGGGCCCCTGGTGCCGGCGCTGGCTGCCCTTCTGAGGACGCCCCTTGGGTTTAGGGGAACGCAGCAGCCGCTGCCCTCCGTGGGCGGCCGTCGGGGAATGAGAACTAAGGGGGCAACCGCCGTGGAAGGAGAGAGCGCGCGGTGGGTGGCGGGCGACCCTCCAGAGGAACCCGCTGGGCCCTTGGCGCGGAGGCCGGGCTGGGCGCCGCCGGCTCCCTGCGAGCTCACCTCAGCCCTCGCCCACTTCGGCTGCGACTGCCCAGGGCGGCACGCTGGGCTCCGGCCTCTCGGAGAGCACCAGCCTCCGCCGGCCTCTGAAATGCGACTCTTTCTAGCAAGTCCCTCTTCAGACCCTTCACTGGCACCTCGGCCTGCAGGGGGACCCGCCCGCCCAGCCGACCCTGAAGGGGTGGGTCCCGGTGGGGGCGCTGCCCGTGGGAAGGTCGGCCTGGCCGCTCATGTGCAGGCGGGGGCCTCGAGCCCACCTCACGGGAGCCAGTGTCCCCCCCGAGAACGGGGCCCATGACCCAGAGCAGCGGAGCTGCCTGCAGGGGGGAGGGCGAGGCTGGGAGGGCAGACCTGCCGGGGCGGATGCAGGGCGGGAGCTGCAGGCCGCTGGCAGGAGCAGGACCGAGCCGGCCGCGCCTTGCGTGAGGAGTTGCACACGAAGTGCTTTCACTTTCTCCAAGGACTCCTGGGTCAGAGGTCACGATAAGGTGGGGGTCAGCCTTGGAGGCTGAGGGCGAGCCCAGGAATCATATCAAAGTAACCGGCCTTTTGTGGGTGCACGGGCAGCTTGGGCAGCGGCCTCACCTGCCCCCTCGTGTCCCTGCTGGCATCAGCCTCTCGGACCCACTGACAGGACGGACGCCCCTGTTCTGTGTCCAGCCCGACGTGTCCAGCGGCCTTTCTCTTACGTAGTCGCTGCCACTTAGGGCTGCTCTTGGCTCGATGGGGGGAAGTAATTGACCCCCTTACTTTCTGCTACTGAAAAGTCCGTAGACGCCCCAAAAGGAACCGTTGGAAGGGCCTGCTCCAGCATGGGGGTGTCTGCCTTCGCTGATGTCAGCGCTCAGGGAAGCTGGTCCTGCCGGCTCCTCCAGCGAGGCTCCCCTGGGGGACGCGCCGCTCTCTGGCAGAGAGAACCCTGGTGGTTCCAGCCAGATCAGCAGAGGGAACAGCAGTGGGGATCCTTTGAGAACTTAGAGGATTAAGTTTCCATATGGGCAAATTTTCTATTTGGGGCGGTTTCTATATGGGTAAATTTTGTGACACTTCTGTAAAAGTTAAAAAATGTTTCACTGTCAGAGGAAATAACCCCGCGCGCCGCGCAGGAAGTGCTGCTGTCTCTCCCGGGGAGTGTGTGAATCACTCTCTCCGCTGTTTCAAGGAAAGAACAGAAAAGCCGGGGCTGCAGAATGTGCAGACCGCACGGTCCGCGCTGGCCGGAAGCTCCATAAAAACGGGCCCTCGAGTGCATGACGAGTCGGCAGGGCCTTTTTAGAAAGCGTTTTTGGCCATGACTCTCAGGAGCCAGGGTGTGCGGGCCCTTTGGCTCCGTCGTTTCACTGCTGGGAATCTCTGAGAGAAAGAATCCAAAATATGGAAAAAGCGACATGCACGAAAGTGAGCCGTGTGGGGTTATTTATAATAATTTAAAAAAATTGGAAATAGCCACATGAACAACAGGAACAGAATTCAGTGGCTTTTACCCGGATCA